TGCCACTTTTCTCTAGCTTGAGTTGCCGTCTCGATCTGCTCTTCCAGTGCGTGACACAACTGGTCACTAACTTCTCCCCTTCGACGAGGATGCACCCACCCATTAAGGATGGCTCGGGCTGCCGAGCCCCCGGGTGCAATGCGTAGGGCTCGGCGGGTCCATAGGATGCCGTGGGGTTCGTAGTACATCTCCGCGATGATCTTCTTGTCGTTGGGAGTCTCGGTAAGCGAGGGGGTTACCGAGGGTGCCTTCTTTGGTGGGGTGATAGGGATGTCGGACCGTAGGTAGGCTTCTTCATCTTCCACTTCTTCCAGCGATACAGGGATAGTCTTGCTTCGAGGCGGCATTTGGTCACCGGGCCGAAAAGGGCCCCTCAGCGGCACTTGGGCACCTTCCGTCGAAGTGGTGGAGGAGGGCTCGCTGCCCTGTGTTCGGCCCCGGCCATGGGCGCTTGTGCACGGCGTTGTAACCTCCACTGTAATTCCGTACTTATCCTCATTCCTAACCGAGGCGGTACTCGAGGAAACATCCGGCAGGCGCACACGTATTGGCTCCCCCGAAAGGTCTTCACGGTTGGCCGATGAGACGGTTACTGAGTGAAGGGGGTCTTCCGAGTTCCCAGCCGCAGCTGCATTCCTGGCACTGACAGACGGGTCGTTTGTTGCCCCTTCTGTCGACGTCGTCGGCCCCTTCTCCCGGCCTGGGCGACCTAGGTCACGTCTGACTTTGGCCTTAACTGGATCTGCGGCAGCGGCCTCTTTGCGATCCAGCGGGGGTTCCTGAGGTGGGATGGCCCCTCAGGGTTCTATGCTGAGCGCAGGCCGCACAGAGCGGCGGAAATCCTCTTCTATGCCATGGTCGTTTTGCGATTCCTCGTTCTTAGTTTCTTCCACTGGTAACGCGGCGAAAAAGTTTGCATATTGTTCGTACGGAGTACCTACATACGTAGTATAAGTCCTGCTAGAAGTACATGAGCGCGCACCCGATGAAACTAAGTCCTTTGCCGATGCCGTCGAATCGCTTATTTCGACGCCGGCTCGTCTTTTGACGACTTGTCCTCCTTGACCTCTTCGACTTTCGTGTCCTTTCCCAGTTCTTCTTTTTCTGCCTCGGCGAGTAATTGTCATAGACGTTGGACGTTGGGCTTTTTGCATGGGGGAAGCTTGACGGGAAGCCACTTGGACTTGTCCGTTGGGCATTTATGGTCGCGGTTCCACCCGGTATTTCCGCATTTGAAGCACCGTTTGTTGCTCCGCAACTTGTCGATTTCCATCGGCTGCCCGGCACCACCATACGTGGTCCCCGTGGCATCCTTCTTATCGCCACTTGAACTCGACGCTCCACTCTTCTGTGATGATTGATTGCCTCGACCTGAACCTCCCTGGTTCGAGGAGGACTTACTGCCCAGTCCTTGGGTGACCCCATATCGATAATTCGCGTCGATCCTCAGGACCTGCGCCTTCCATTCTGCGTAGGTTGTGGGGCGCTTGTTGTCCCCATGCATAACCGTGTTCCGCACCGTCGGTCGTATGGCCGCTTCTACTGCTTCGAACATTTGCTTCTCGTCTCCGAACTCCTCGCACTTGTGGGCTAGTCGTTCGAACTTCACAAAGAACTCCACTGCTGACTTAAAGTCCGATTGTCGGATCTTCCTCCACTCCGCCTTCCATATGGTCAGTTCCGCTACCTCCCGGAATTGGACAGTGAGGTCATGGGAGAACTCTGCCCACGTCAGGAATCTCCAATGACCCTGCGGGTCCCGATAGCGGTAGTATTGATCGACCCACCACTGCTGCGCTTCCCCATGCAAGTAGCCTTGAGCGAACGTGATACAATAGGGGTTTTGTCCCTCGTCGTTCATCGTATAATACATGGGGAATACTTGGAAGTACACCTCGCAGTGGTGTAGGAATCGGGTGATGTCGGAGGATACCCCTGTAAAGTACTCTGGTTGCGTAATGAGTTTAGGTTTTACGTCATTCCAGGGATTGTTGACTGCCCCCGGCGCCAACTGCCAGGGGGGAATCGGATCCGGAGGCGACGGGATGTGCGGGGGTACCGGCGGCTTGGGTGGTCGTGAGAGGGATCGGAGGTTCCGGTTTTCTCCTGGAGGTGGGTATCCTTCAGGGTTCGGCGGATGCGGTGGTCTTGATGGCGGCATCGGCGGGACCGTGGATTTCTTCCCTTTATCGGGGACGGAGGGTCCAGCGCCCGCGTCCGTGTACTCGTCGTCATCTCCCCCTGCCCCCCCAAAGAACCCTTCGGGGAAAAAGTCTGATGGGTCGATGGGGTGAGGCATCGGTTGAGGGCATTTATACGGTTCGCACCCAGGCTGCGGGATCTCAGGGTTCATCATATTCCAGACAATGGCCGCCCGGTGCCATGTCTCTACCTCCAGGATATTCTTCATGAGGTATACGTCCCCCATCCTTTTTGCACCTCGATAATCCTCCCCCGCTTCGGTGAATAACCATTGCGGGTCCTTTTCCATGTCTTCCATCATTATTTCGTATAATCCGTGCCATGGAAGTAGGTTGAAAATATCGGGCCGCGGAGTAGGCCCGTTAAGCAGAACCGCCCTCACCGCCATCATCACCGTCGGTTCGAGGGCCTGGTTCGGAGGACCGCTGGGCATCCTCTGCCTCCTTCCTCTCTCTGGCGACGTGGTCGAGCTCTTGGTTCCTCCTCCACCTCCCGATGTCGGAGTCCTCGTCGGTGATTTCTGCCTGGTAGGAGTTCCAGGCTCTTCTTCTTGCCTCCAAGTCCGTTCCGGCTCTTCTGGCTGCTCCTGAATATCTGACTGCGGCTGCTCGTATTCGGTTATTGATCTCGGCTGGAGTGGCATCTGGCTCGAGGGGTAGATCCCACCAGCCATTGGGTCCCTGGAGGGCGTCTTCCTCGGCTCTGCGGATCCGTGCATCGTGCGCTCTTCCGCGCTCCATTCGGGCCTCGACTTCTGGGGTGAGCCGGGCAGTTCAAGAGAGTCCGAGGGACTCGACGTACGTGTGGTAAAGAAGTGGCCATGGCCGCTGGGCGAGGGGGATGGGGTCCGCGAAGGCTCTCGATGGGACTGACAGGCTCCAGTTGGAGACTCCGGCGAGGCGCTCGGAAACGGTAACTGTTCCAAGTTCTTCGGTGTCGTAATCTGGGAACTCGCCCCAAAGCTCCCTATCCATCGGCTCATGTGAGGGGACGGCGGGAGCGAGTGCTGGGGTCTTGGGCCTCTCAGAGACCGGGTCGGGCTCTGGTCTGGTCACGACTCAGGCCACAGGAGTCTCTTCCCTGTCGTCGGCGTAGACCCAGCTTGTGTGGGGGTGCCAGGCGACTGGGAGCCCTCGGTCCGCATCCCAAGATGCTGGAACTCGTCTTGCTCCATCTGTACTGGCGGTCGTGGCAGCGGAGGCCCCAAGGGTAAGCTCTCCAGAATCATCTTCGAGGTCGTCTCGGGCTTTTCCCTTCCCGTACCTCTTCCACTCGCTTCCCCAGTCTGCGTCTGTCCACCTGTTCTGGGAGCGTCCGCTCCAGTTATCTCCGGTATAGGTTGCATCTTCCTCCTCGTTCGGGTAGAGGTCGCCGAGGAGGGTTTCGAGCCGAACTCTTTCAAGGTCGGTGAGCTCGTCCCCTTCGTACTCGGTGTCAGGGCTTTCTTCGCCCGTGACCAGATCCCTGGTGCCTTGTCCTCGGGCTCCGTCGGTACTTGACTCGCCTTCGACTGGAGAGACGTCGAAGAGGCCTGGTAAGGGCGAGTCTCCTCAGTCGAGGAGTACCCCCTGGGTATCGGTGATGTCGACGGAGTCTCCTGACTCTGTAGCACTTCTGTAGGAGTCTGTGCTCGACTCTGAGGTTCGCGAGCTGGGTCGCGACGATGCGTAGAGGGATTCTCCAGATCCTCTGGGTGTGATGGGTCGGCCATCATGAAGGGTTTGCTGAGACGCGGCGGGGATATGGATTACTGGGGGCGGATAGGCCGGGGTTGCTGGTACGTAGTGAAACGGCAGCTGGGCGCATACTCGTCTCTGTCGACGGCAGCACCGTTGGATGTAGTACAAGGAGGTGAACAAGAAAAAGGTTATAAAAAGCGCAGAGATTACGGGAATGGCGTCGGACAAGGGCATCCGTGCGCGGGCTCAATTTTTGAGATAGCCTGCGGTAAGGATAGACCATACGACGGACAATGCAAGGATGATGAGGGCGGCGAGGGTCGCAATAATCAAGTTGAGGTCAGTCTCGTAAACGGGGCTGGTCATCAATGAGGAGTTGTCATCAAAGGAAGGGTCAGTCAATGCTAGCAGTATGACTGCTAACAGTGAAGCTAACTTTAGGGATAGGTTGAGAAGGTTTGTGGTGCCTCAAACGAGAGGGACGTATCCACCGTACAAAGCCACTAGCAGTCCTGCTAGAAGCGGTGCGGCGATACAGACTCGGACGAGAGCAAGGGTGAGGAGAACAGTCACTAAGACTGCAAAGATCGGGTCGTTGATAATGTACGGGATAATCCAGGTGATGACGGCGGCTTGAAGCAGCAGGTCAAAGGGTGTAACCCAAAGGGCTACTGCAACAAAGAGGTGTATCGGATGAATTTTCGTAATATCCTGCGACGTAACAGCTTGATTCCAAAGGATCAATGGGCACCGACAAATGTCTAGGTGCTGCCTAGTGACCGTTCGGTCCAACTGGGGGATACAGTCTTTCAAAATTTGTTGGGCAGCGTTCGTGGCGCTGGGCAACGTGTGTCGAGCTTCGGCTAAATGTTAGCCACTAACTCTGATTGACTTAGATCAACCAAGGATTGCTACTCGCACTTCGGTAGACGATACACTCGGAGGTCAAAGGCAATGAACGGAGCCAGGAGCGAACTTAGATAGTCGCGAAGAAAGGAGTTCGAAGTTAGGTAGATTAAACCTTAGCCGAAGCTGGGGTTTAGACCAGCTGAGGCTCTACTTAAATACACGATGAGTAGACTAATAATAGTACTGTGGGAATGAGTCCGTTGCGATCGTATGAGAGAAGCATATAGCGTAAGTGAGATAGGTAAGCAAAAGAAAAGAAAATGAATAAACCGTAACAGGACCTTTGCACGGCATTGGAAAAGCAGGGGGCTGGCCGTCTTCATTCTTGGCAGCGTTCGCTAGCTTCACGTATCCCGCTTGACTTCCTGAAGGTGTCGGTTCTCATCCAATATATTCACCCAGTGACATCCCAATCCAATGGGGCGGGTAATCTACCTGCCGCTCCATCGCTGCGTCAACCGGACATATCCCAACTCGCAAAGCTATGTGAGGAGCTCTTTGTTTGGGGACATTCGATGGGCATCATCCGCAATTTCCGTGATCATGTCTTCCCAGGATTAGCCACCCATGACCTGCTTCAAGATCTATGTAAACGACGGGGACTATTGAAAGACGACGACACTCATATCTCCCAGCATGCTATAGTTTCCAAAGTACGTGCTGTATGTGCAAATCAACGCGAACGATCACATTCGGAGTTATATGTATCTCTCATCATTCCCGGTGAAATCCTAACTCAGATCACCTCTGCGATTGATGGGACATACAATACCGATACCACGTCAGACGAGTACGATCAGTTTGTGAAGAAACCCCAAGTTCATGCATGGCTCTCTCGTGTATTGGCCCTTCATGTGTGGCCGAACATCTTGGATGATACACAACATCAGACCCTCAAAGCTGGCAAAAAACGTAAGACGGTTTGAACCAAGTATCAAGAAAATGAGGCTCATCGAAGCAGAGCCAAGCCTCGCTCAGCCCGTTGATGAGCCTAAACTTCCGTGGCAACGGCAAAAACCAAAACTCTAGAGGAGTTCACGGCAAATGGCGTGTAGCGGCAATAAAGGCTTTGTTGTTGTGCGAGTGTTTCGGTGCACCTCCGTGCGATGAATTCCTCAAGAACGCAAGTATACTCTGCGACTTTTCAGTCAGCGAAGTAGTACCCTTAACGATCGAGTACTAGAAAACGTTGGCTGTAAGCCGGGAAGGGTCTCGATAGACAAGACGGAACGGAATCCGGTATAACTGGGAATACCGGCAAACCGTGAACGAAGTGACGGCAATTAACTGGTAAAAGCTGTGGGCGATGTTGATGGAATTAGCGAAAATGCCATCAAAGAGAAATACCGTTGGCAAGATAACAAATACCGTGACGGCAAGAGACGAAGACTGTAGTCGAGAAATGAGAAACTGGTGGTAAAACGAAGATAAGACTGGCTGGCGATGATATGAGGGGGAACTAGTGACGGCAAAATGATGGCTGGGACTGGGCTGGACTGAAACTGAAACTATACTGAGGTTAACGACGGCAAAACGAAACTGATACTAATCCTGAGTCTACACAGAGACTATCTTATACTGAAACTGACGGCAAGATACCAAATACCGTGACTGATGATCCTATACTGAAGCTGTTGACCGAAATTCCGTGACAGATGCTGCTGGCGGCAATAACGATCCTAATCTGAGTCCACACGGGGACGTAACGATCCTGAACTGAACTGGGTAAAACGATGGCGACGTAGAAGGTGAAAACTGATGAAAACGATCCTGGCTGGTGAAAGTGAAACGATGCTGGTGGATTAAAAGATAAAAGCAAGTTGTGGACACCAAATTCCGTGTATTGGCGCAATATGAGCGTACACCAATACCGTTAGAAGAAAAGCCGTGACAGAGAGTATAACTTGGAGTGACTATGTTGTTATTGTCTATCTCCTAGCGAGTACAAGCGATAACGGTGGTCGATAACGTGGATGATGGCTAGTGTCCAGTAACTTGTGTCTAGCAACTACTACTACACTAGCTTTTATACTACAAGTCCGGAATAAAATTAGAATACTTGAAATGAGTCCTTAGTAAGTCCTTAGTACATCGATTGGTAAGAAATGATACAAAACGCATGCTCCCAGAGTTCTAAAGTAACAGCACCCACACGGTTTTACCGCGTATAGACTTAGTGATCAGAAAGAATTCCCCCGACATACGGACTCTTGGGCTGCTGTGTTGCTGCAGCAAAGTACACTGAAGGTAGTACACTGAAGTAGATGCGTGCGGCATTATCTTGGCGTTGTAACAGCCTTAGTAAAGCTGGTGGAAAGGTCACGGTATCAAGTCTTTTGCCGTGGAATAGGTATTTTGGCTGCGGCATTCTATTAAGTGATGCTTGATGCTGATGTCAGCGATGGCTGTGCTGGGCGATCAATGATGGTCCTAAATCTGTGAGATCTGCAATCAGGTGCCTGGCGGCATTAATGAAGTGGCGCATATTGATACGGAATACGAGCTGGGAAGGATAGTTGGCGGTAAGAGTGGGTATTGCCGTGATTGCAATCGTTGACTTAGTGAAAGTCCGCTAAGTGGACAAGGCATTTATTATAATGCTAAAATCCGCGAATTCTGAGCGTACAGAGCCTTGAGGCTCATCACCGTTGGTATGTCAAGTATCCCTGTCTGTCAAATCTCTCTTACAATAACTTTTATGATGCCCTAGCTTCGACTTCTGCCAATCTACGAAACACCAGTCAAGGCTCAGCAGAACAGAACAGGTCTTACCCGGTCTTAGAGATATCTAGTGACGAGAGTGGCGAGGAAATGACAGGCAGGGCTCATTTCAATGCCATGTATGGCCTGTTTCTTACAGTTTTTTTTTAAAGAAGCCACTCCAATAAAGCGCCAGAAATGTAACTCATCTCCAAAGTACCGAATCGAAGTTCGCTATACAGCGAAAGGGGAGATCCTGGAGCTATGCACAGATGACGAGAATGGATTCTAAATAGGAGCACCTACCCCTCTTTTTTTCATATATATATAGATAGCATATCATGGACTTTATCGCTTGACTCACTGTTCTCTCTTCCTCTCAGTATCATATGGACATGAACACAACCAATGATATCACAAATGCGCTAGGAATTCGCAAGGTCCTAGAAACCCTATCCTCAGATTTAGAGATCATAGACGACATTGAGGGTGAGCAGGAGAGTTGCGGTGTGTCCAATGAGTACGATGGTAATATGCAGATGGACCTGAGTGCATCGGACGATGTTGAGGAGGTTTTAGCCAATATTAGCGAAGCATCAAAGGGTGTCACGGAAGGCACTGATGCTGCATATAAAAGGTCAACTGTTATCCTCAGTTTCTGATACCCTGCATTATTCTAACGTTCAACACTTACACAGGGTCATGACGGCGTTTAATAACTTCCTCATTAAGGAGAACATCATCCAGCCGGGCACTAATATATTCAATCTGCAGAAGCTTGACCCGAATATTGACTACTACATCGTAGGATTTATTATGAAGAAGTACGCCTGAGCATTCAGTCCATATCATGTCTATCTGACTTGACGAGGTGTGATGATATTGATATGCATGGCACAAGCAAAGGGCCTGACGATGCACAGAGGAGCTACTCACACGCTCAAAAGCTTAGGGCAGGCACCACCTATGGCTTCCGTAAGACTGGTCGTCGAGGTAAGGTACCTTGGAACAGAGCAACGGTGCTTGGAAACCCATCGATCTCTGATCTCGTGTCCTCATACATGTTGGGTCTGCACAAACGCAAGGTACGCTGTGAAACTCATCAGTAATATATGTAGGCTGATGAGAAACACAGGTCGCCAAAGGCGAAACTTCAACTAGTGCTCGAGCCATTGGTCCTGTATGTCTCTGTTTCTGTTGTCGAAAACTCATTACATCTTTTACTTTCTAGGGTATTCTGAAGCAGCTCTATCTGCATAATCATAAGCATGAAAACTGGGATAACAATCACCTGTCCCAGGGAAACTGGTGTGGAGGAAACACGCGGCGATTGCTCCAGGCCGTCTACCTCATAGCATTTACATGCTTACTCTGCATTGACGAGGTGTTGAACATTCAGGCCCACGAGGTTGATCTCTACAATGATGAAGTCGATAACACTGCCTGTGTTTCGATCACCCTTCCTTTTCATAAAAATGCGCAATTTGGTGGTAAGTGCTTTTTGCTGCTACAGTGCCATTGCCTGCTGACTTGTTTGGGATAACAGACATACCTCCATTTGTATTACGAGAACTGCCAGAACATATGGCGCATCTCTGTCCTGTTTGAGCTCTCGCCACATGGATTGGCACCTCAAGGATTAACAAAGGGAATCTTTTCCCCAACATTGATAAACGCGACCGTCCCAACACTGCCAAGAACACCGCAATGGTAAGGTATGGGTTCTATACGCAAGTGGTCCATGCTCATTCGGAACTTTGTTAGAAACCAGAGGTCTTCCTGCAGCTCTTTCGGAATAACCTGTGGGACTTGGGTATCACACCATATCCCTATGGTACACATTCTTTTCGCCGTGGTGGATGCCAGTGGTTCTCATGTGATCTCCATTGGTCAATTCGACAAATCTGTGAGTGGGGTGGTTGGAGCTCGGACTTTTCACATATGACAATTGTCAAGTATTTGATTTCATCAAACGACACTCTGACTCTTCGTCGTGATGAATTTTTCAAGCTTGACTGCCAAGTAGTCAAATGCTGGACCTGTGGACGAACATGTCCATGTGCTTAATTTTAATTGTGTAGTTATCTCACGTCACAAAGTAAATAAGAAAAACATTGTAGCATTCCAAAACTACGACATGAACTGTGAACTAAACATCCTCATTGCAACTAATTCCCATCTTCTTCCTATAGTGTCGGGCAATTGTTGGACCATCCTTCATGGCAACCAATTTCCTACCCCTTTTATAACCAAAGTGATTGATAAAATCATCACCATACTCAGCTGTCACTTGTTTTGCTAATTCGAGATTTGCGGCTGTTCGTCACTCTAAAAGAATTTTTTTGATTCGAGAGAATTTCAGCCTCTGTCCTTGAGAGTCGGAAAACTCGGCCCAGAAGGCTTCAGGTGTCTCGAATGCCTGATATGCTTCAATAAAATGCTGAAGGCAAGAGGTGAGAATATGAACAACAGAAAGAAAAGCAAACATACTTTCCAATCTAGCCAATTGCTCTTGAGTTTTTCCCATTCGTTCCCTGTTTTTTTATTGAGTTTGTAGATGTCTTTCCAGTACTTTATTGGAACTGGGCGACCATGGATGACGATTGGATAATCAATGGATGGGGCCCAGTCTGGATTACGATCATCCCAGCACCGAATGAGACTTTCGAGATTTGATGCATAGCAGAACGGTTTAGTCGGCGGAACATCACCCTGATGAACAGTTATGGTCTGGCCATCAGCAAAGACCAACGAGCACTGAATTGGGTTGATGGCAGTATCATCAGATGATACTGGAGCATTCCCATCAAGTTCAGACGTCGGCAGAGCAGGTGGAGAGAGCAGCATGGATGGTGAAGTCATCTGCATGGGCTCAAAGGGTGGTAGGATCGGTGAGTCTGGTTGGTCCACAATACCAGAGAAGACTTCAGTCAAACTTGCAGTGAGCCCCATAATGGTCGAGTCGAAATCCATGGAGGGACAGGGGGTTTCAGGTGATACAGTCGAAGACAAGGACGAGGGGGAGGAGTTTTGATGAGCAGCCGACCGCTCCTCGACGATAGAGGCAACACACTGGACAAAGTCAGGGCTCGCAAAAGGATTCTGTGCATTGGAGATGGCTGTCAGGTCGAATCAACAGTGAAAAGTAATGACACATACCATACCAGGCTTTTGCGCGCTATGATTGTGGACACTGTTGACCCCAGGTTCTGGGAGATGGGTATTGCGGAGATTCTGTGCACGTTCTTCTTCTTTCGCTATCTTGACCATAAGAACTTCAGCCTGAAAACGCAATCAACAAACCAAGCATGAACAGCAACAAAAACGGACTCACCCAAGGTATGAAGCCGTCTATCTTGGCCTGGCTACGAGTATCCTCGAATCTTGACGTAGGGAGGAGTACCCTTTGAGGGTTGCTCACTGGTATGCTCACCTCATGAATGCGGGTTGCTCGACGTGTCAGCTTCCTCTTCGTAATAGCACCATCCCTCACCACCCTCACTCCCTTGTGAGGAATACGCGTCGGAGTGAGGATACTGTGAGAGGAGAGGGAGATGAGCTCACATCTGTGTATGGCATGAATGAACGTACTTTGCCTTCCACTTTTCCATCCCGGCTTGGCTGAACTTCACAAGCTGCTCACGAAGCGTTGTTTTGTTGCCCGTATGTGCGAGTCCGAAATGCTGGCAAAGTTCTGCAAACCAGGGGACCTTGTGTGTAAGAGACCTGGGGAATGGCATCAGTCAAAGCAAGACCAGCAAACAGGAACAACATACAGGTCAATTTCCTCCATTTGAAAATTGCTGTTCTCATCAAGCCAATTTTTATTAGGGCCATCTTGACGAGGGCAAGGGAAGACATATCGCTGCTGCTGCTCTGGCGGCAGCATGTTTGGAGGCAGTGGAAAAGAATCCATGATGAGTCTGAGTGTGTTGGTGGATGCGCGTCACTGCCATTGAACAAGTCGCCTCCTCCTAATGAAGAAGAAAGCGAGGACGAGGATGCCGACAAAGGACCCTGCGAGACAAACAGCGAGACGAAGGCCATGATTGGTGGCGTCGTCGTTAACCCTGGCGGCAAAATGTCTGGGTTTAGTCAGGGGTGTGGTGTGGAGAGAGAGAGACATGATCTGGAGAGAGAAAGGGAAAATGGGAGGAGTACAATGTCTCCAAACCCAAACCCAAAAACGAGCAAGCGAGCAAAAATCAAGTGAGCATCGAGCGAGTGAACAAAAGCAGCGCTCCCCGACAAAAGACATCACGCCACAGTCACGAACTCTCACCAATCCGCCGACGAAGGATGTCAAACGGACACAGTGACACATTCGTGTCAACCGTGTCAACCATTGGAATCCACCCACACGCATGAACACAAAAATCTCATCGACGAAAGACGTCAAATGAGATGGGCGACATATTTGTGTCAACCCACCCGGAGGGAAAAGAGAAAGGGCCAAGACCCCCACGGAGGCAGTAGGGGAGGGAGCCAAACAGATCGTGGAGACGGTCGCAGGGATGGGAAACGTCTTTGCGGCTGTGACAACAATTGATCCCGGGAGTTGCCGTGTGATGGGACCGTCGTTACTCGGAGGGAAGCACAATTGGAATGTGATGATCGGACTTACTGCAAAACGGGACTGCCAGACCCCAAAGTACACAACTAAGTGATGCTAAAAGTAGGATTTTGATTTTATTTTGAATTGCGCAAATTAGTAGCTGTGAGGGGATCTGATATACTCCGGGGTCCTGTTATCAGCGCCGTTCGTGATTTCGAAAGGGATCACTGTCACTTCCGTCTGCTTCTGAATTCACTCTAGCTTCGATCAATCCTCCTAGGACGAAAATGAGGAATCAAGTAGGCAACGACATGGCCCAGTACGGCTACCAGCACCAGTTTTGTTACAGAACACGGTCTTGGGTTAATTGGGTCCCTTTCACGTGAATCATCGGTGGGAGGTGTCGACTAAGACGGAAGATAAAAGAGATATAGGTTCTTCCAATAATCGCACGAGGCCGCGCAGCGGACTCATCACGCACTGTCAACGTCTCACTCCAGAGTACTCTGTTACCTGCCATGGACAAAAAGCCCCTCGTCCAAAATACGTTGCATTCAATTCAGACTGTATGGAGTCTTTCGTCTACCGTTCATTTCCTGTAATGTTGAATTTTCCAAACGCACCAGATTCTGGACTGTCAGTTATTTCATTCATCCTTCCCACGAAAGGCCACCACCAGGCTGAAAGACGAGGTACCTCCGGTATGAGTTTATTCTGTGCACACTGTGTCCTTCTCATCAGATCCGCTACGCAGGCGCCAACTGTACATGAAAGAGGTTCGCAGGAGGCAGAGAGGCCGGTCTTTGGGATGGCCTCCCTTGAACGCACGAATCCAACGCCAGTCTCGCCAGAAATTGGAAGGCGTGCTAAGTCGATATGGAGGCGTTGCCGCGACATCTTTTTGTGCCTATTTCCTAAATCCAACACATCAGAGTCAGGTAATGATGATGCAGAGCATCGTCACAAACGGTTGCGCCTAGGTGTTTCCAGCCGTCAATGGCCCTTCGTCCCACATAAATCACTTTCCTTGATCCGAGGGGTAAGTGTATACAACTAGTTACCGAGCCTTGTATTCATTGCAACGTCGTAGACGCCGCACCGCGTTGACGCATCTCGGTTTTGGGCAGTTCTTATCGGCATCGACGCATACCCGTCTAATCCGTTGCGTGGTGCTGTATCAGATGCGTTAACAATGAGGAAATTTCTCATTAATGACCTTGGCATTCCAGAACATCGCATCCAGTATCTCCTCGGCCCTCATGATCCTACAACGGGCGATCCTCTGGCACCTTCCCATGCTAATATCATAAACACGCTCCACAGTCTTATTTCCAACGAAGAAATTCAGCGGGGTGACAATATCATCATCTACTACGCTGGGCATGGCTCAAGCTACCAACGTTCAATGCATTCCGCTACAGCGAAATCTAAATACAGCAGGAATTTCTGTCCTGTCGAAGCTCTATGCCCCATCGATCGAGACACCAAGGATGTCGATGGACGTTGGATACCCGACATCAGTGACCGTGAACTCAATGTTCTTTTCACAGAAATATCTCGCGTCAAGGGACATAAAATCACGTTCATCCTGGATTGCTGTCACGCCCGCAGTTTTGACCGCACGGCCTCCGGCTCAGGCATACGTACTACCCCCATAACATTTCATGCTTCGCTCAGCGATATGTTACATGCTGCGGATGAAAGGCTGAGACAATTTCCTGACTATCACTCTATATTATCGAAAGATTGGAAGCCATGTATGGGTTCTCATGTAATCCTGGCGGCATGTAGGGATTACCAGTTGGTGAAGGAGACTGCAGGGAAGGAAGGACATGGCGGGATGTTTACCAACACACTTGTTGGTGTTCTGAAGTCGAGTGCCTGGAAGAAGGAAACAACGTACGTTGAACTCGCTGAGCTTTTGAATCAATCATATTACCAGACCCCGGTCGTTGCTGGAGAGCATAAATATGAACGTCTATGGTATCAGATATAAAGGCCAAACTACCTCCCTACTGCCTAGCCTGAGTTCTCTAATGCGAAGACATTCAGTCCGAGTATGACTGATCGTGCTTAATACACTTGTTATGACATTAATACTGCATTGAAGCAGGCACTCCATGCAAGATTCTGAGCCCTGGATCTTGGGTAGACTAGTAGCTTCATTGCAACAATCTCAAGCTGAGGTTCTACTCAGCCCGAACTTCCGTGCCGCATAAAGCTGTCTTTGAGTTGAATGGTTCAAATACAGTGTCCGTACGAGTCCGATCACTTTTTGAATAGCAAAAACCATCAGTGATACTGAGTGATTGAATTACGGCTAGGCTAATAATGAATGTTGAACCACCGAAGTTGAAAGCACTGTCGAGTTTCTGGGATAGGAAGTCGGGCTGATTATACATAATCAAATTCTGTGTCCTGTCTACGGATTTGGTCTCTGTACGCCAAAGTGAGCCTTTGGTGAATGTCGTGAATCCACAAGAATCCGCCTACGTGTGATAGTCACAATGTTCCCATTGTTACGCGTTTTTCCACCGTGGACACCTGACACTAACCTGCTAGCATCCCATCACTCCCAGTAGTAGTCCGATCAACATTCGTAAGTTTGCTTCGGAGTCAGACGACTTGCTGATTAGCCCTTCTAATCTTATACTTGTATTCATGTGATATCTTGGTATAAAGCAGCCGAATATAGTTTATCGTGGCCGTCACGGTAACACCCTCATGCGATCTCCGGAGGTCTGAGACCACAAAGGATTCACTCAGAAGGTCGCGCTGATACGCCTGGTATCAGGCTACCCATAGATTTTGCGATTTTACATCAGTTTATGCAATCTACAAGCGGTACAGAGGGCTACAGTGGAGGCTTCGCGCTGGTAGCTAAATACTACATAAAGAATGAAAGCACGGCAGTACAGAACGGACTTAGAAACGACATCTCAAAGAGTCAATTCTACCAGCCATCAACACGCCAAGCTAAGCCCTACCTAAACAAGACTATTACAGTCAAATCTCGGGGACTCGTCTGTATGGAGTATAAAAACCAAGAAGTTGAAGAATGGAACGAACTAGATGCCTCGTCGCCTCGACGAGTAGAAAGAACCTGTCAGGAAAAATTGCTAAGTCGAGAAACAGATCAGCTTTCGAGATCAACTCAGGCTAGGAAAGGAATAACCTTGGAAGAATGAATAGCCGCGTTGGGTACCGAGATGACCGACCTTGATCGCGCAGTGATCAACAGAATACAATCTCGGACCTGCAGTCGATTGCGATCGGTGGTTACATCCTCGAGATCCTGCGCATACCGCAGTATTCAATACATACGGCGCACGGCAGGCCTTGCAGACGGAAGAAGGAGCACCCACGGACTAGTAGGGCACTCCTCGGCGACAGAATAACCTGGTGCAGTCGCGTCGAACTGAATAGAAACTACAGAATGGCGCGATACTTGTAGGATAGTGACTCACTGTTTGTATTAATTCCAAAGCTCGTACCATAATTACTGTAGATACAGGCTCCTATACCTAAAACACGAATCGTATAAATTAGCAGCGACTAGACGCATAACGGCAGGAAAGCATTCCCCCGCGTTTGTGCTAGTAGCCTGTATAGCTACCTAATCAATCACTGGTTTTTATTGCATATCCTCGACTGAAGTGAATTAAGTTACCAAAGTCAACCCATAAGGGCGACTACAGTAATCTAGAAGAGTTAAGTAGGAAGTAGAGCCGTCCCCGTGTTTGCGCCTTGCTAGTTAATTGAACTGCTCCCCGGACAAAGGCCTCGTGTTCTCTCTCTCCGAGATTAGCGATCTAGACGTGCTGAGTCAACTTTAAATCAAAAGACCTCATCTAGTTGAAGTAAAATAAGCCCTAGAATGCTTTAAGTTCGAACAATCGTCGAGTTCAAGGAACTCCAGAGTCTGTGTACTCTTTGCAAGTCTTGTACTTGAAGTCAGAACCTGAGCGTTCTTTGTAGAGTGATTTTGCACTCTTTGTAGACCTCGGAGTCTTTGGTTGTTTGATTATTTGAAGTGTCCGCTAGAAGTTCTTCTAGACGACATCGAAACGAGCATAACTTGCTCGACTATACCTTACAAAACAAGTTCATAAAACCCCGCTATCGCGGACTAGTGTACTTTGTGTAAAACACATCGAAAGAAGAATTGAAGTTGTTTTCAGGCAAAACCCCACTAGATTATCTAAATCTAAGTACATCGCGAGTGCTTCTATCGTACTCACCCTCGAACTTATATACATTGGTGATTGTGTGTGTGTGTGTGTGATTTAGTATCTAGATTGACGATCTAGACGCTAGTTTCATTTGCGCGCTGCCCGTTACCGAGCACATCAGCGCGCCACAAGCCATTTCAATTCATTGAAAAAGGTGTAGTATAATACATTGCAAATGTACTGATCTATTAATTTAAATGAAAGGTAACTAAGGATTAACGCAGACACTATATCCATGCAGTACGAAAGTGGTGGCCAGCCGTCCTAAACACTCTGATACCAAAGGCGCTCGTATTTGTGGTCCCCAGCAACAACCGGAGTCTGGTAATGTGACTGATTCAAAAGCTCAATGAGGTCAACATATGTTGTTTCCCTCTTCCAAGCATTCGACCTCAGGACATCAACAAGTATCCTGGTGAGAACCCCGCGGTATCCCTTCTTTTCCAAAGTCTCCGTTGCATACTGATAATCCCTACACGCCACCAGGATTACGTGAGAACCCATATATGGCTTCCAATCCTTTGATAAAACAGGTAGATAGCAGGGAGAGTCCTTCAGCCTTTCATCCGTGGCGCGTAACATGTCGTTAACACTGGAATGACCGGTTGAGCATATGAAGCGCCGACCTGTTCTGGCTTCTGGTTTCCTGGTCATGCCACCTGCATGACAGCAATCTGCAATAAACGTGATCCTATACCCCTTGGCAAGACATATTTGAGTGAAAAGAGCGTTAATCTCTCGGTCGCTGATGTCGGGTATCCACCGTCCATCGGCATCCTTGGTGTCGCGATCGATGGGGCACAGAGCTTCGACAGGACAGAAATTCCTGCTGCATTTAGATTTCGCTGTAGCGGAATGCATTGAACATTGGTAGCTTGAGCCATGCCCAGCATAATAAATGATTATATTGTTGCCAAGCTGAATTTCACGATTGTGAATGAGACTGTAGAGCGTATTTACGATGTTGGCACGAGAAGGTGTCAAGGCGCCGTTAGGGAGGGGATCGTGAGAGCCGAGGAGACACTGGATACGCTCTTTCGGCACGCCAAGGTCATCGATGAGAAAATTCTTCATCAACAATGCGTCAGATACACAACCGTGCAAGGAAATCCCCTCGTACGCATCGATACCGATGAGAACAGCCCAAAATCGTGACGCGTCAACGTGGTGCGGAGTCTATGACATTGAGATGAGCACAAGGGTTGATGACTAGGGATATTCATAACCACTTACTCCTCGGGTAAAATATGGGAACTGACTGACAGGCGGTCGAGGGATATCCGCATCTTTGAGGCGAAGGTGATAAAGCTTGTGCATATCTTCGGCTGCAGCATTATTTGATCCCAGCACGTTGGAGTTACGAAGGAAAGCCCGGACGGCGACACGAAGACGTTTCCATCCTGATTGTGCTCGCTCACGCTCTTTTGCTTCTTGGAAACCGCCATGGAGTCGATACCTTCAGAAGCTATCTCATAGTCTTGTGCGAGCCGCTCCTCCTTCTTCATCAAATCGCATAATTCCTGCGCGTGTGGATACTCCAGCTGATTCTACGTGGCAGATCAGATGAGAGGGCCTCAGCATCCACAAAACAAAAATATACCGGAGAAGTAGCATCAGCGACGAATACTCGGAAATTTTCCTGTGGCTGACTGTCTTCAGCTTGCGTGTGGGTCTAGAAATTTTAATATTATAACGAACTGAAGAGACGACAGACAGATATGTACCATTTGGAGAACGAAGAGGACGTTTTTACACAGTACGTATTGATCCTATAAGAAGTATGCGATGAGGGCGGTGTCACCAACAGTGTTTAACATGCCTTGGTCACCTTAGGGGAAAGACCGCGAGATCTATACATTACGACACACAACATCCCTCAATGGAATTTAAATGGAAACTCATGTCGTTATACCATTTTCACGTTCTTCCCACATTCCTTACTAACATCGCAAGCGTGTTTAGTCCTGCTATCGCCTGTAATAGAAAATCACGCATGCTGCTGAATATGAACCGTATATGTACAACTTGGTCCAGAGCACTTGGATCATGGTGACCATATGTGAGCGGTCACTTGGTGGCATTCAAGGCACAGACAGAAACGAGCATAAGTCCTCGGAAGGGTCAAAGCACAGACAGACGTACAGCGCCGGAGTAGTGCGACCTAGCTATAATCAGATTGGCTACTGTGGCACTTCGTGTACCCCTGGAAACACAATCGAAACTCGAGGTCAAGGTCACCGAGAAGCAGGTGTATCCCAGAATCTTGGAACCAGAAGTCGTTCGTGGAAAGTGAGTACCAGACCTACAACAATGGACAGCGGAGAGAAGACAGGGTAACAAGAACTACTGAAACGGCCCTCAGCACTCAGTGTAAGCACATCACCACCCGTGAATGAATGAATGATGCCCGTGGAATGACTGAACGAAGTGGGAGAACCTTACAATCGTATGGGGAAAAGGAAACGACGGGAATGACGTGAGTCAGGCCCGGTCGGAATGTTGATCCCCCACCCCCCTCTGCGGCCTTTTCACTGCGTCTGGTTCATTAAACTCGCTAGTAACGAATGCGCTACTAAGTATGGATGCAGTCAAACGCGCATTGATTATATTCTCTAGTCTGGGCCTGGCTGCTCCGACTTTACGTTGACAAGTCGAATCATTTTACTCAGACTCCGTGCTTTCACAATCAAACACGTCGAATGAAGGAGCATTCATGACTCGTTTTTTCCGCGAAGCCTGTGTGTACTTCTTCATTCATTTTTTCCTTGAGGCATTGGCATGATCGGATCCATACAGACGCCCAGCACAAAAATGATTCAACTGACAAGGATAAGAATCCTAACTGGCCCACTCTGCTGAAATCATACGTCTATTCCTGGGCATAAATGATCGCAACTTATTCTTCTGAAATTTTTGAAAGGATGGGCGCTTATAGACGGCCGTTTTAAAACTAGCGCCATAGTTGGGCGAAGCTTACTGGTTACTGGCTGACGCTCTACATGACGCATACCCAGCTTCGTATCAAGATGGTGGTTGATTGCTGCAGATCAAACTTTACTTACCTCAATGCCATACCTGGAACTTGCCTCGTCCTAAATTTGTATTGACCATGAGCCTGAAGAGTAGTTGAGATCTAGTTGCCAATACACATGTCTTTCCACCGCTCATCCCCCATTTTCCTCCATCTTAACGAATAATTCTATGAAAACCGTGTAGTTTAACATTCTCATGTATCTAGCATTGTCACAGAGGGCACTGCCAGTGGTAGCTTTCATCTTCCTTGTCCTGGATGTCCTTCAAGCTGACGATGACTCATCGTCATGCGTTTTGCATGTTTAAGGCCGATCACCACCTGCTGCTAACAATTTTTGCTCGCACATACATATTGTCACTCTCCAGACGTTCTCCTGGACTGAATTATCACTGGAACGGCGAGCTGTTGGACCAATCAGAGTGCTGAAGATGGATCTACTGATTGATATGACTGCCGGCAATGTGAAGGACATGGAGGGATGGAAATGGCGGAGGACGCCAAGGAGAATGAACTTGCCTTGTTGGTCTTCTCTTCACATCTTACCTATCCACGCACAGGCAGTCGGTCGTTTCGTTTTGCCGTAGATGACATTCTGCTACCTCTGCTTCAATTTTGTATCTTAATCTCATTCGGATACAATATACGTGAGAGCGACATACAAGAGTTATCCCAAGATTGGCATTTGTGGGTGGGGAGGTCTCTCAGGCTTTATTGAAACTCATGATGTGAGGGTCGAGGATACTAACATCTGCGCAGTTGTCACGCCGGGGATGTTCAGTTGCACAATTTGTCACCAAGTGTGTATTGTCAGTTCGGTACTCGCCGTGACTGTCGTGAACGGTGCACGTAAAGTAAAATTTCCTAGATACCAGTTCCATGATTTATCATGGCGACCCCAAAGCAATGATCACGAAAAGACGAAGGTTGGATGGAAGCTCTCGGCATAAGCAAACTAAAACGTGCCACCCACGTCAGCTAACTGGTCTACTTCACCCGCCACCGTGCCAGTGTTCGAAACTTGAAAACGTTTCAGCTTGTTGACGTTGTTGCTAATAAGCAACAGATCAGGAGATACGAAACGGCCTATGCCCAACTCAAAGATGTTAACACGGACTTCCTTTGATTTAAAACTTGGTTAAACATGGGAAGGAAGTATGGAGGAATAGATGGCCTTTGTTTGAGATAGAAAGGTGAAGGATCGAAGGATCCTACATGCAGATGTGTGAGAGCTGGACGCGCCGACGGTCGGAAAGGCGTATAACCGCCCGAGGCGTTGGGTTTGAGGCAGTGGTGTAGATGTTACGCTGAAGGTGATGCATCATCGAACATTGTCATGCAGGAGGGAAATGAGATGTCATTTCCGGTGGTTTTCCGCTTGCAAATCAACCAGGCCTGCATGACGAAAGAGAAGAGTCGTGGAGAGATGCATTCAAGTTTGAGTTAGCCGAAAGATGATACACCGGAACATTCGGACCGAGCCTTCCATTCATGAAATCCGGGGTGTGGTCTTTTTTCATTCCTAGAAACATTCGCCAATCGACATATTTTCTGCAGCTTATGTCCAACTACGTACCCCCCCATTTCTCCATTTCATTCCCCGATACCACAGCCAAGTTATCTTGGAGACCCGAGGGTAATCCCTCGTCTTCTCGACAAAGTTGGACGTTGTGACGCTGCTGGTATCGTCTACTTTTTCGTTCGCCGATGAACGTCGGAAATCATTGAAAGAAGACCCTTCAAACCAGTACTTGACGGAGAACCGGCGCTCTCTACATGGATTATTAGAAGCCATGTATGGAGGAGCTAGCGAGTTTGGGCATTGATTGTTTGCGACCTATGGTATGACCTCCACGCTTCGTCCGCAGCTCTGCTGGTTTGGCCCAAGTGCTGCGTGAACTCGTCCCAGAGATCGGTCAGGAAGGACCAGTGGTGTATTCTCAATCAGTGCTGTGGACAGAACCGCCATCGTCTTGTCGTCACTATGGTTCCTTTTTGATCCCCGCTGTTTCCTTTGCGTATGCGCCACAATTCCAAAAGCGAAAGCACCAGTACTGAGAGGGATTGAACGATTGAAGCGAGGATTTCTGGATCGTCTGGTATGCAAGAAAGATCATTTATTGGTTTTCATATCAGAGAAGGGTATGGTGATGACTCACAGCTACTTCATTTCTTGACCATTTTAGAAAGGAGCAAAGGAAAATTCCCTAAAACACTGTATGAGAGGAATAGAGTCCTACACCTACACCTACACCGTTCCAACGTTCGATTCCATCATCGATCTTTTGATATGAGAGTCGCCGCAAGGAAAGGTCCCTGGTTATGCATTCTCCATTCCAAATTTCGGCAGATCCCGATAGGCATAAGATCACGCGTTTCCAAACGTATAAGCAAAGACTTTTTAGCTTGGCCAAGAAAAGACGATAGAGCATTAGTTTCCGGTTTGACTGAAAAATGAAAGGGCGGTATGCTGCGACGCTTCCTTCGCATAGGCAGGCCTTTGTACGTACGACGGTCATGAACACCGGACTTGTCATTTGACCAGGTGTTGGGGGAGCGACAGCCACTCAAGGTAGTTCTGCGTAACCTTCTGCAAGGCTCACCAAACTGTCCAGGCCAAACCTCCAAGCCGGAACCGCCTGGCTTTCTCTGTCAGGCAAGGTTGGACGACAGTTGGCGAAAAGATATTGATTGTTTTTATCTGCAAATGCCATCTCGTTAGACATGGCAGGAAGACGAGATAGTAAAACGGACCGTAAGTTCCTGCATGAATCAAAGTAAAAAGTATCGCAGCATCACCCAGAGGACAAGCATATCTACGCATTACCACCATCAACTTTCTCGGAAACTGTGCAGAAGATAACGACGTACATCAAGCAGCGATTAAAGTTGAGCGCTTAAAACTATGTGAGCATCCTTCCAGAGCTGCGTGGATACCTGTGAAAACGGCATTCGCTTGAGTATGGGGAACGAGAACAAACCTTCATTGCGCCCAGAGTCATTCTGAAAAGCTCCGAGCTGTAGGATCCAATGCAGATGCATTCTTCGAACAGGGATCTATCGTATACCTGGTTGGAAAAAAGTGGACAGAAGGTGGAATCGTGTTTGTACAGTCATCGCAAAAGGT